AATATCATACCAAAATGCCTGTTACATGTAACCAAGACTTCAAAATACATCCAAACATTACCATTACAACCACCACTGGAGTACCACTACCTAAACACATTGGATTGTCATTAACACAAACTAAACACACATAATCCTAATAACATATATGACCAGGAACACCATTACAACTACCATTATACTACGACCGTTAGATTAGCATACCATCACAACCCATGTCCATTAGATTCACTTGCTAAATATCAAGTGAATGATGAAAATCATGACCATGAACATTACGACGACAATAGGGGTGAGCATTTGGACCGGTGCACCTGACTGGACCAGACCATTTTTTTGGACCCCCGGGTCGGTTCTCGGTTCTAAGAATCCATCAAAACCGGTCCGGTTTTTTCCCGGTCCGGTCCGGTTTTTACCGGGTTTAGAACCGGTTGGACCCGATTTAAAAAAAATTGGTAATCTGTGAAAATTTTTAAACAACCATAACTCATTCGTTTTAAGTCAGATTGACATGCGGTTTTTTCCAACGTTTAATTTACAGTTTGTAGATGAATTTAGAATATAATTTTGTTGATTTTGGTGTTATATTCAATAAGTTATAGTCTTTCAAAGTTGAGCTATAAAAGCTGAAAATTTTCAGCTTTTCAGCAACATTTTTAAAATTTTGTAATCTGTGAAAAATTTTAAACAACCATAACTTATTTGTTTTAAGTCGGATTGACACACGGTTTTTTCCAACTTTTAATTTACAGTTTGTAGATGAATTTAGACTATAATTTAATTGATTTTGGTATTATATTCAATGAGCTATAGTCTTTCAAAGCTGAGCTATAAAAGCTGAAAAATTTCAGCTTTTCAGCAACATTTTTAAAATTTTGTAATCTGTGAAAAATTGTAAACAACCATAACTTATTTGTTTTAAGTCGGATTGACACGCGGTTTTTTTCCAACATTTAATTTACAGTTTGTAGATGAATTTAGACTATAATTTTGTTGATTTTGATATTATATTCAATGAGTTACAATCTTTCAAAGTTGAACTATCAAAGCTGAAAAATTTCAGCTTTTTAACTATTATTTTAGACTATAATTTTGAATTTTATGTATCTTTGACAGATAAATCATATGAAAAGGATCTTGGTGAACTTGATTTATATGTTAGTTGCTTTTATTTGGAAAATTAATTTTAAAAGTTATAATATTATACATCAAGGTGGATTAGTAATGCATGAAACAGAAAAGTAATCATTTCTACAAGTTGTATCGTATCAAACCCAACAACATATTCGTTTTAACGAGTTCTATCAAACCCAAAAACTTATTTTAACGACTTGTACTCTATGCAATTAAAATTGTACCGGTCCAAACGAGTCTAAGAACCGGAAAACCCGGACCTGGACCCGGACACGGACATGGACACGGACACGACTCATCCGGTCCGATCCACGGTCCACAATATTCTCCATAACCGGTCCGGTCCAAGAGCCGGCCCGGTTCGGTCCAAATGCTCACCCCAAGACGACAACACCCACAACCAACAGAGCAATCGCTTTAATTTGCTTCTCAACATGGTCGAACATTTGCTGCATGTTGAGGACATCGACCCTGAAATGAAGGTAATCTCGACCCATGTCCTCTTTCATACGCTCGACCTGACCTTGTTGCTCAACTATCTTTTCACCACAATCACAAAAGATCGTGTGCAAATCGTTCAAGTTAAGTCCGTTGGTTGAGCTTATGGAGTTTTTGGAGTTTATAGTATCCGGTGATGGTGTGGGTGTAGGATCCATGGAAGACAGTGTTGTCGAATGGTTGTCGGCTAGTGTTTGGCCGGAAATGATAACGATATTTTAGGGTTTTGTCCAGATCCTTCTATTATATACTAGGGGACCATTGAACCCCTTATGGCCCAAGCAAGCCAACTCGTTGGTGAGTCGTTGATTCGAGTTGGATGAGATGACTCTCTAACCGAGTTGGGTGGTGACTAGGCAAGGAAACCGGTTGAATAGGGTCAAAATCCCTAAATAGCCAGTAAATTGTGAATTTATGCCCTTATAAAGCCAAAAAATAACAATAATGACCTTTTAAACCAAAATATGTAAAGTTTGTGGGTTACACTGACATTTTCTCATAATAAAAAGTTCTAAAATAAATCCTCATTGAAGATGCTCTTAGCAATGTAGACACTTGCTTTTTTTTCCATGTTGGTACTTGATGTGCCGTTTTTACCGCCACTTGCTTCTTTTCCATGTTGGTACTTGATGTGCCGTTTTTACCGCCATACTTGTCGTACATTTACTTTCAGCTTATTATGTTAGTACTTATTTCATGTTTTAGACTTTTAGTGCTACTGGTTGCTCACGCCAATTGTGTATTAGTATATTCTCTTTATTTCCAGTTTTATTGTGTGTGTCTGTCTTTCCCTATTGCCGCAAACTAATGGTTATTAATTCACTATGAGCTGATATTTCATTTTGCAGGAGATCCTCCCGTATGGCTCTACGTTTCTTTTTATGTTGGAGATTTATGGAAACGGTGTGGCTGCTAACATGATGTATGTATTTTTATTGTTATTGTTATTAAAGGAATGTGTTTACTTATATGAAAAGATGCACTTTATTTCGAAAAAAGTATAATTGATTTAAAATATTATCTATATGTAAATAGGACAAATTAAAGTAAAATATAGGTATCAAATATTTGTCTTGTTTAGCAAATTTGCTTAGAAGTCAACAATTTGGATGATGGTGTGAGAGGTTTATAATAAAGTAAAGAGTAAATTACAAGAATGGTCCTTGTGGTTTATCTTTATTATATAATAAAGAGTAATTTACATGAACATTTTTTATGGTTTGCGATAACTTGTATGTTTGTTTTCTAATTTATTTTTTAGTTTAGGTGGTCAGCAAGTTTTTAATATGTTACGCTCTTAGTCCTTGCCTTAACATTTTGTCTTGTTTCACTGTTTAAACCCATCACGTGCATCGTATGCAAGGGTATTGTTGTCTTTTACATTGAGTGTCCTTTAGTAACACTAACTCTTTAAGAACAACATACATCTCCTTCTTGCTTGACGTCATTGCCTTGGCCCTAATTGTCTCCAAACCTCCCAATATATCTCGTATACAAGCATCCATTCATAAACACTAACACCCCACATTATAACTATACTTCATTAAAAACTCTAATATGGTCCCTCCATCAACAATTTATAACTACACTTCGTGAACCCTTTTCGCTTCCTCTGCCCTCCAAATCCATACCTCTGATCTTGCCTAACCCTTCTACCAATTGCTCGTGCACGAGATAAACACAAACACCTAACACAATCATAACAATCATAGAAATTGACGCAATCACGACAATAAACTTATTGCAACGGTGTTTATGTTGAGGGAGTTGTTTGCATTTGGAATTTAAAGAAACTAGCTTGCAAAATCCGACTCAATTTGTAAGGTTGAATATGTGATTAGAAGATATTGATTGGATTCTTGGTGTGATAAACTGATTATGCAAATGCTATTGAATCCTTATGATGATTTTCTTAATCATTTGTTTAAACCGTTGATTTGTCAGAGATTGAATTTCTACATCTCATTTAGGATTTTAATCAAACACATAGATCGATTTTTAATCAAACACATAGATCGATTAGGTTCTAGATAGACTTTTGTCATTTCCTAGTTTTGATCAAGAGTTCCTATATTGGTAATTCGGTTTCACATATTGTTCAAAAGATCAATAATTCATTGTTCTGGGTTCACACTTGATCTTGTAACCATGTAAAGAGATGGATATCTCAATGTTGATTAGAGTGGTTTGTACCGCTCTCTGTTATTTTGTTCAACATATGTCTTTGTGAATCAATTGTTTAGTTTGTGAATGTAGGCTTTTAAATGTGTGTGTGTGTGTGTGTGAGAGAGAGAGAGAGAGAGATTTCATGTTTTAAAATTATAAATTAAAATTAAGTTTTATTTTGTGGGATTTTAGGATCCCGATCTCGATCTTGTAAACCCAAAAACGATCTTACGTAGGATTCTGATCTTAACAATCTTGACAATCTTGGGTTTACCAGTTAAAAAAGACTGAATGTTAAGACTCCGCATGTAACATATTTGGACTCCGCATGTAACATATTTGCACCATCAAAATAAAAAATAAATTAAGAATCAAACATACAAGTTACCCCAAGGCCCTAACCATAAGTGTAATAAGTGTAATTTACTCTAACATAAATGATCAAACGAACTAAACTATTTATTGTCTTATATATATATATATATATATCCTCCCTAATAAATGAAAATAATTTTGACACTTGTCAATCTCTCATTAGTTTTGACATTTGTCATTTTGTGGTATTTTTTAAATAAATATTATCCACTTGTCAATTTATGATTTGTTTCAAATTTTAAAATTAAAGTCATATACTTATATATGTAAAGTATTAAATATAATATATATGAAATTAAATTGCAATGAAAACATTTCTTCCTTTCTTATTTTAAAATTTTACATTAAATAATATTTACTGCTTACACTTTAATGTTTAATTTTTTTTTAAATTAACTCGTATAATATATGAGTTTCACACCTAATAATATACTACTCTAAAACATTATAAGTTATAACAAACTTGCAATATGTACTCTAAAACATTGATTTTAAGAATATATTCACCAAATCAACTAAGAACAGGCTCTTCTTGCATGCATATTACCTAATAACATAAAAATGACGACTATTTTTACAGAATATTTTACCAAATAGTTTTTTGCATTGCTCTCTCCAAACATTGGAGATATTTATTGAGATTTTGTTATGAGGAAGAACGGTGTTATACATTCTGCCTATATAGGATAAATGTGGTAAAAAACACAAAACTTTTACAATAAGACAATAAGAAGGACATTCATGTCTTTTACATAGATGGATACAAGTTTTTGTCCAACTTTTTTTAAACACAGTACGATCTGTCCTATCATGTTTTTTTAACAAAGGGGACCACAAGGCTCAAACACAAAATTAAAAGGTGAATAAAACCACAAAAAAATGTTACACAAGCAAAGGTGTAGTCATATTAATATGAGATAATCCCAAATCATTTAAAAACATCCATCAAAAATCACTCCATAAAGTTTTAAAAAAATAAAAATAAGGAACTAAACAAGTGTCCCACTTCCATCATCACACTTAATACAAGTGAAAAGTATCAAGCACAAACCACCTGGCTTACAACTCCAGGACATCTTTGCACAACTTTAATTACTAAAATTGTATCACTTCCCTGCAAAATAATATTCCAAATTTACCAAACTACCCCTCACCAAATGCAACAGATCAATACCAAGAGGGGCAAACACAAAAACATACCAAAGAGCAATTAAAAACCCTGTTCCAGGAGATAGTCACCAAGCCTTTCAACAATCATGTTGCATTGGCCTGGAGTCATGGGTTCATCATACACACCAATGATCAAGGACATTGTCGTCTTTTTAACAGTAACACCTCCTGGTCCCTGCAAGTCAAAATTACTTATATACCCTTGTGTTTTATATATGATAATTATGAATCAAGATCAATGTGAATTGTGAAGTGATATTACCTTTTTCCCTCGAATCACAGCTCCAGCTTCACCTTGAATAACCATGTACTTGGTCCCACCAAGGTATAAACCAGTTGGGGCAAGTGAACCAGGTTCATTGAAGTCATTGATGATTGCAGTTATTTCCTCTGGTTTAACCTGTAAAATATCAGCCATGAATGATGGACGTTAGTGGCATATCATAAACATCTAGAGATGGGTTTCTGATGTCTTGAAACCCACACAAAAAAGCATATAGAAACATTGAATTTGTATATGTTTCTGCCATAACCAGATTTTCAGTCGAACTAATCAAATATCTGAAGATTTCATGGTGTTAATATGTGTCATGTGTCTCTCGTTGTTGATGTTTCTCATCCAAAAAGCTTTTCTCCCTTTATAGTGACCAAATAATCAATAATGGTTTCTCATTCAGCCTTGTTTCGATCCAGATATTTCACATCATTCAAATCAATCGAATGTCGAGATCAAGTTTACAATCATACGTCATGTCAAGATTTTGTACTGGTTGAATTTGATTTTAAATAAATTAGGTCAAAATAAACAGAGACTCGGCGTTTTTACACCTTAACATCGATGAAAACACATGCGCCTTTAGAACTCAAACAGTATAGATATCCACATCAAGGTCCATAACAGATCAAACGAATCAACCACATGCAACATCTCACGGAAAATATTCAACTAATCTAACAATAAACAGTGACGATTTGGATCAGATCCGAAGTTAAATCGAAGTCAAACGTGCTAAAACGAGTTAGATGAAGCGAAACTAGGTAAAAAGTGAAACGTAATGGAGAGAAATTAGACCGAAGGGAAGCTGGATGATTGGGCCCAGATGCTCCCATCGTGACCGATGATTGCGGCGGAAGAGAGGTGATTTCCTTCGATCTCGCACATCAAGTGGTCGTCGACGTATGCTTGCCACGACATCTTGTTCCGATTATCGCTGTATGTGCTCCGATTCGGGTGATTTGTGTGGAGAGAAGCTGTTGGAGTTCGAGAATCGTGGGGGAGAGGTGAAGGAGATAAATAGAGCGTACAAAAAACGGCAATATGACGTGCACTTATAAGAAATTATTCCATTGTCCTCATGGTATGGTCTTGTACGGGAAAATGACTTAAAAGGGCACCATATCATTCGATTTGTGGTTACTGAGTTTTTTTTTCGTTCACATTTACCCCTTAAATTTGTTAAACTGTACACATTCAGTCCTTATGAACTGTTACTCCAGGTTAGCCGAGAAAAATGACTTGATAGGGTAATATATTTTTCATTTTGTACACATTTAGTCCTTAATATTTTTGTACATATTTAGTCCTTAACATTTTTTTTGTTTCAAAATAAATCATTTTTTTGTACTCATTCAATACTTATGAATGATTTCTTTAAGTTTTTTTCACGACATCTTACGTGAGACAATCATTGATGAGGTGTTTGGGGTTGTTGATGCTTATGTCCAATGCGATCTCGACTGCTTGGTTGCGTAAGTCTTGTGGTTTGGCTTAGGTCTTGTATTTTGAACATCGTAACTTCTTCATACGATATCAGATTTTAAGGATCTTTATCCACATGTTCATTTTTTTAGTCTACTACAACTTTCATTAAGATTACTCCCGTTAAAATGTAATATATTTTTTACTAACGATTTTATAAAAAAAACATACATACATGCATTCATAAAAAACGTATGGACAGGGGAAGACGCAGTAATACATAGCAGGTGTTGCCGAGATGAAATAGGTGTTGTCGATATATGGAAAATAGGTATAAACGTAAAAAATAAAGCGAAAAATTTTCCACTGTGAACAAAAAAAACAGGTGTTGTCGGTGCAACACCGGGACCATACTAAATCCGCCACCGCGTATGGATATAAAAATCGTAAGTAAAAATATATTATTTTTTAATTGGAGTAATCTAAATGAAAGTTGTAGTAGACTAAAATACGAACGCATGGATATAAAGACCGTTAAAATCCGAGATCATATGAAGAAGTTATGACGTTTAGAACACATGACCTAAGCAACCGAGTAGTCGAGATCGCGATGGATATAAGCATCAAAAGCCTCATACACCTCATTAATGAATGTCCCACGTAATATTTCTTGAGAAAAAACTAAAAAATCTTTCATAAGTACTGAATGAGTACAAAAAAAATGACTTATTTTGCAAAAAAAAAAGGACTAAATGTGTACAAAAATATTAAGGACTAAATGTGTACAAAGTGAGAAATATATTACCCTATTAAGTCATTTTTACCAGGTAACCTGTAGTAGTCGGTCATAAGGACTGAATGTATACAGTTTAACAAGTTGAAGGGGTAAATGTGGACGAAAAAAAACTCAGTGACCAAATGTGTACAAATCGAAAAATATATTACCCTTTTAAGTCATTATCCCACATGGTCCCTTGTAAATCGTCATAAACCTTCCTAATCTGACTATATTTATTTAAAACTGTGACAACCCGAAACTTTTATCTTGTACACTTAGCCAATTCTATCAATGCTAAACTCGTTTCAGCTATCTTTTAGCATCGTTTTGAGCATGTTTGGATGATCTAAAACCTTGTACAACCAAAGTTTGAATTAGGGATGGGTTGGTTTAAGATTTAGGGTTGCAAATAGGCCAAACACTCCATCAAAAGGAGTGTGTGGCCACACACATGAGTGTATGGCCGCACACCCGAGTGTATGGCTGCACACATGAGTGTGTGGCCGCACACCCGAGTGTATGGCCGCACACATGAGTGTGTGGCAGCACACCCGAGTGTATGGCCGCACACACGAGTGTGTGGCCGCACACCCATCCTCCAGCCGCGCACTCATCCCTATTTATATAGGGTGACCCCTTCACTCATTCCTTTTATTTGGCTGCACTCTACTTTCTCTCTCTAAAAACTTCATCCAAGAACACTCTCAAGGCCTCAAAAACATGAGTTTTCCATCACCTAACTTATCATACATGAAGGACCCATCGATCCAAGCCCCTAACCATCAAAGTTCATCATGTTCTTCATCACATGAAGGTGTACGGCCGCACACCTTCATAAGGTGGCTGTACACACCTCAAAGAACCTCCAAAGTGAGAGTTTGATTCCCTATCTTCTAGTTGGACTTGGTTTCAACCTTAAAACGCTGAAAAATAGACTCTTGGGGCACATATGAAGGGTGTACGGCCGCACACCCCTGTGTACGGCCGCACACACCCTCTGTACGGCCGCACACCCCTTGGGCCGCACACTCATGGCCGCACACACCTTAAAGGTGGCCATACACTCACCTAACGCAATCCTTTAAGGTCCTAACACTTAGTGCAAGTAGTCCCAAGTTCCTAGAGTGGTTCTCCATCACATTTGGTGGTGAAATACCTTCATTTGACTCCTTTATGTATCATTGCATGTTAATTAGGATCAAATCGTGTTCAAGACTTCATGAACACCCAACTTTTCGTGTCGATCCTTCATTCAAATCACCCAAGGTGAGCTCGTACCCCTACGCTTTTTCCGTGTTTTTCATGTTTTCAGGGGGGGGGGGATACAAGCAAAAGTACAAGGAAACTTGTGCTCAAAATATATTATTTTGTTTAAGATAATCATATTTCAGTATACTTTTAACACGGGAAACAGTTTTACCAACCGATTAAGAAATCAACACGCAGAAACAGTTTTCAAAACTAGAACAATAAACTTGTGAATCATGTAGTAAAATGTATTATTTTATAAAGGATTCATGCAAATCATAAACAGGATTTTCTGTATTATTACTTGTAAATTTGTTAGGCTAAGTTTGAGACACGTCCTTGGTAACACTCCCACAGAATCAGGGTATAGGACTAGCACTTGTGACCAGAGTCTCTTGTAGGGAGAGCGTGACTGTTGTGTATAGATCTATACGGGACTGACAATCCCGCACCTCACTGCTAGCTACAGTCGGATCGGCAGGTCTGCGGGTGACAAAGTCATTAAGGATATCGGCCGTTGCGGGCCTTATCCAGTCAGTTATGGTCATGAAACTCAAAACCTAGGTAGCAGAGATTTACTTTTGTAATAATGAATCAAGTGAACTAACCTCAACGTAATAACCGATTTAATTACTGGAGGGTATTAATAATAATATCTTCAGGACTTAGTTCATCACAGTTTTCTTTTATTTAGTTTTTAAGACTAATATACTTCTCTGGGTGTAACCAGGGTTTTTAAAAGAAAACTGCTTTTATATACACGAGTATGGTAGATGTCACACCCCGAAACCGATGGCGGAAATGTTCCGGGGCGGAGGACGTCATGTGTAGCATCACAACCAATGAATAACATCAATCATAGCAACACAACCATTACAGTGAATACTTAAATAAAAATGTTTACATCAGTTGAAACTTGACTGAAACTTTGTTTGAATTACATCCAATAGCTTTGTATAGTATAAACATAAAACTCTTATTGCTCTAGTTCCTCGAAAATCCATCAAGTACCTGACTACTGATTTCTTGAGAATACAAGCAAGTTGAAAGAGTATCAGCATAAAGCTGGTGAGTTCATAAGCGGTGGTTTGTAGTGAAAATCGTTGATGAGTTCGGAAAATATTTTTATAGTTTCAAGAAAATACGATATTTTCCTTAGTGAAAATGTAGTATTATCAGTTCTGTAATAAACCATGAATATCTGTATGGTTCCAAGAAAATCCGATATTTTCTTTAGTGAAAAGGTAGCGTTATCGATTTCGTATAAAACCATGAATGTTCGTTACTGAAAACTGTAGTGATATGCGAAAATACTACCTCATGTGACTAGCTAAAACTGATCATGAGGTATAAGTATTTTGTATGTGAAACCATTGCATAATCGGTTCTGTTTGAAAAACCCTGGCTTTAGCCAGTATACGTAGTGTGTATCAGTTCTATTTAGTAAAAATAGAACTGTTGAAGAGTGTTAAGTTGTAAACTAAAGGTGATTTATACATATTGTGAGTCGTATAACCATACTTGATATGACTAGAGACCTTTCCAACGTTCTTCAGGCGTCGAGTTAAATGACATTTGTCACCCTAGGCATGCCTGCCCAACTGTAGCTAGCAGTTCGGGTGTGGGATTGTCAGTCCCGAATAGATCTATTCACAAATCTCACGCTCTCCCTCCAGGAGACTCTGGTTATACTATGATAGGATTTATCCATGTACACCTAAGGGTATAGTATTGAAGTAGCGCCTCACAGTATCGTACAATCTAGTTTACATGTAGTGTAGTAGCGTTCTACCATAGTGAAAATCCGTATGTATACCGTATGTAGTGATAATTACAGTTATGAATACCATGATAAAGTAGTGAGGTAAACTGTAAACTGTTTCTGTCTTAGTGCATATGTTTAGTAGTGAAAGTTTCTGTACTTGTTATGTTTATAAAATCCCAAACTATACCGATTATAGTTTGCATGTATAACGTAGTGAATAGCGAATCCGGAAAACTATGCAATTTTAGTGAAAACGTCCCTTATGCTCAACACAGTACAAAAGGGTTAAAGTATGAGAATTGCATTAGTTTTTGAAAACATTTATGTTTAGCTTGTATTCCCCCCCCTGAAAACATTAAAAATACGGAAAATGTAGGGGTATGAACTCACAGTTCTTGTTGTGAAATCGTTGACTGAAATGAAGATCCTCGAGTTGTTGCACGTGACACTTAACGGAATCCTATTATCAAATAAATACATATATGTATCTAAATTAGCGATTTCGTTAGATAACGTGTTAGAGGTACACTTGTATTCGGTTAAGGAATGTTACAGGGACTTGATCGAATCGATGAAAGTGGGTTTTCAGTCAAAAGCACCACCAAAAAGGTGTTTACGGTCGTAAACTAGGGTTTACGGTCAACAGACAATTTACGGTTTCTGAAGGCTTGGTGAGTTTACGGCCGTAAACTCAAGAACAGGGTTTACGGTCTTTGAAGGCTTGGACTGTAAACTCAAGAACAGTGTTTACGGTCTTTGAAGACGGACCGTAAACTCAAGAACAATGTTGTAGATTTCGAAGAGATAAGCGTTTCCAGACGTTCCGAAGTGGCTCCAAACGGTGTTTCTCGATGTTTCCCG